GGGGGGGGGGGGGGGGGGGGGGGGGGGAGAGAAACATCGATGTGAGAGAGACACACCCATTGGTTGCCTCCTATACAGTCCCAACTGGGGCCGGGCATCGAGCCTGCAACCCAGGTACGTGCCCTTGACTGGAATCGAACCCAGGACCCTTCCGTCCACGGGCTGACGCTCTAACCACGGAGCGAAACCGGCCAGGGCCGGAGTCCGCCCCTTTTGAAGTTAGTTCCTAGAATTCTTACACAAACACGCTGTTTATCGATAAGTTACGTATTAGTCAGCATTTACTGAAACCATATCAAAGGGGTGGTGGGTGGGCTGTGCACGTCCCCTCCCACGCTCTCCAGCAGCGCCTCCCATTTCCAATTTTCAAGTTTTCTTCACGAAAGGAAAAGAAACTTTCCAATACTTTCGTCCCGGGCTTTTACACGGGGGCCCAGGTGGACGGGAGGCTCGGGTGCCGCCTGGGCCGAGCTTCCCGGGGTGGGAGGACGGGTGCAGGGCCGTGCGGGGCTCACGGGCCCCCCGCCCCGCAGGTGCTGGAGCTCTACGGCAACACCATCACCAGCATGGAGTGTCTGTGCGCTCGCCCGCCACCGGGCCTCCAGCACTTGGGGCTGGGTCACAACAAGCTCCTGGGCCCCCTGCAAAGCGTGTACATCACCTCCCAACACTGGTAACTCGGGGGCCCCTACCGGAAGCGCAGGGAAGGGACTAAGCGTCAGATCTGGGAGATTTACTCCGGGGGCCTGAGGGGCCCAGCTTTGCTCTTTTCTGTAATAACGCCTGGCCGGCTGCTGACTCCAGACCTAAGACTGATTTCTCTGACCCGATTCAAAAACCCCACGGGAGGCCAGGGAAGGACGCGGGGCGGTGGGAGCGAGGCGGACCTTGGCCGCCGGAGAGCAGGCTCGTGCGGCTTGGGCACTGCTGACACTTGGGCCGATGGCTGTCCGCGTGGGGCTGCCCTGAGCCCAGCAGGGAGACCAGCGGCGTCCCTGGCCTCCCCCGCTGGGGGCCCGCAGCACCCGCCCCACGCCAGCCGTGACGGCTGAACTGTCTCCACATAGAGCCCAAGGTCCACTGGGGACAGAATCGCCCTGAGCTGAGAAGGGCGGCCCTACAGACAGCTCTCGGTGTGACTCTGTCTCCTTGGTGGGTGAGGAGAGAGAAACTGAACACCCCGGGCCCGAGCACGAGGCCGCGATTCTGGCCGTTTTCTCCCGCCGGCCGCAGCTGTCAGGGCCGCAGCCAGGAAAGGGACGGGCGCTTGGACTTCAGACGTGTCCCGCGGACAGAGTGCCAGGGGTCCCGACTTTTTATTTGGAGAATAATACCTAGGTAACCTCCTTAATGCCGAGTGTGGATTTCACGAAAACCTAGAAAACCTCCACCTCTCGCTGTTTTGAAATGGGAAGGAAGGTAGACATCAGGTGACTCAACCTTGCTCACTGTTGAAAGGGCTGATGGCCTGGCCGGCGTGGCCCAGCGGTCGAGCGTCGACCTAGTATCCAGGAGATTGGGGTTCGATTCCCGGTCAGGGCCCAGGCCCGGGTTTCAGGCTCCATCCCCCGTCGGGGGCGTGCAGGAGGCAGCCGATCAATGACTCTCATCATTGACGTTTCTCTCTCTCCCCCTCTCCCTTCCTCTCTCTGAAATCAGTAATGATAATTAGAAAAAAAAAGAAAAGGCTGATGGTGGGTAAAGTCTGTGTATTTCCCACTGACTGGCTGGCCGACATCACGGGCAGGACGGGCCATAAAAGGA